GTTTTTGCCGAAGCTCGTCTTCTCCATTTTTTTCAACTACTCGGAGTCTTCAAATTATGCGTCGCAATCTACAGACTTTGGCAATTCCTTTGAAGCGCGTTTAATTCATAAAAGTTTTAGTATTTAGACGTCATGGTAGACTTTTAACAAAAGAAACTCTGGAAATATTTTTATTTATTTTTAGTCGAAGCTTTTTTGGTTATTTGTTTAGTTTTTTTTTTTTTTCTACTTTTAATATTTAAAATGATATTAAAAACTTTAAATATTATATGCTGGTTCGTTGCTATAAATTGTTATTTATCCCAAAATTTTTATCTCAAAAATTGTTTTACATTAATTACCCGTATAAAATTAGTAACAGCTTTTTTATTTGGTTAGACGATATTTCGTTTCAATTTGCTTTGCATGAAGTTCGGAAAGTCAAACGAAAAAAATAAGTTTGAATAATCACGTCGAAATATATTTAAAACAAATTATTTTAATGACAGGGGTTCTAAAGTTTTTTATAACAAATGTAGGTAAAAAAAAAATAACTAAATAAAAAAGTTCAGCATTAAACACCATTTCTTTATTATATTGCAACCGTAAATATTGAATTTTTAACTTGAACTAAATTTACTTATTATTTAGAACGACTAAGCAATAAAAGTAAAATGCCCCTAAAATTATGCGAGATTGTGTTGTTTATTTGATAACTGTTGTTGGTAATGTTATTTATGTTGATTATTTTCATAAATATCAAAATAGTTCCAGATTAATCTGTTCGTTGCTTTGCTCATTGTTGATTTATTTCTAATATAATTTATCTCAAACTATAATTATATGTTAAAAAAGAAAAGTTTTTATTTCATTGGGCGCTCTTTTTATAAAAGTGTAGAACAAAAGAGAAAGTAAAGTTTCGCGCAATTAAACTTTGAATGAATAAGAGTTGTATAGAATATATATTTTTTCGTTCTTTTTTTAGATGAAAGAAATAAAAGTTTAATAGTAAATTTTCTTTGAATAAATGAGAATTGGAAGAGAAAATTGTTTGAAAATATGTATCTGTTAATTGTGTTTTTAAAATTTTTTAATTTTTTATGTTAAGAGACAAATGCCATCTACGACACAAATTTGGAAATACCAAATATAATATGCTTTTTAATGCGCGTTATGACATTTTAACAAATTAAATTACCATCTATCTTGAATTATTGCCTTTAATTAATGTGTTAATTATTGCGTTATTTAATTATAATTTGTCCGTATTTTTGTTAAATATTAGTTTTATAAAACGGGCGAAAATATACAAACTTCATGTTTTTTATTTGATGGTTATAAAATATTGAACAGCAAACTTATAATCAAAATTTATTATACCGACTTGTGTTGCAATTAATTGTACTTTTAATGCAAAATCAGGAACTCACATATCCTTTCACGAATTTTCATATCTGTCAACTGTATTGTTTAGTGTATTCTTATACTTTTTTTTCATAATCTTAACAGGTTCTAATTGGTATGGAGTTGCTGATATTTTAAAAATTTCATTATCAAAAATCAAATGTAAAATAAAATGGTATTTCCTTTTTATCCGAATCCAATTCAGCAAATTTAACAATTTAAATTAAATCAGCGTGATCAAAAAAAATTTATAAGAAAAAAAGGTAACAATTCATTAAATATCTCTAAATTAGAGATATTTAATTAGAGACTCTAATTAATACTGTCAGTTTATGAAAGTAATTGTTAATAAATACTTTTTTTCAACGGGAAAACAAAAAATTGTCATAGCGTAAAAATAACCAGAGAAGTTAGAAAATAGTTCCATTTGTTTAAATAAAAATAATTAAGAATCAGAATATATAATACTGCGCTCTCTAGCGCAAAAACAAGAGACCGTATATAAAACGTTCTATATAATGTAAAATACTCGTATGAAAATCATGAGATTGGTAAGGCTTTAATATTTGTTTTAATTTAAATAATTAAAGAAATATAAGTAAGATATATAAATCTAAAAAATATTAAGATATCTGTAAGAAATAAGTTGCTCCTATAAAATAAAAATAATTTATTGTTTTTACTTTTTACAAAATTTTTTTTGCGATGTTTGGAAAAATAATACAAATAAATTTGTTTTGCTGTATGTTAAAAAAATACTACAGTAGAAAAACACAGCTTAGTTTAATTACTTTTCTTTTGTTAAAAGTCTACCGTGACGTCAAAATACTAAAACTTTTATGAATTAAACGCGCTTCAAAGGAATTGCCAAAGTCTGTAGATTGCGACGCATAATTTGAAGACTCCGAGTAGTTGAAAAAAATGGAGAAGATGAGCTTCGGCAAAAAAAACAACATTTGTTTTTCACGGTATGCATTCATTATTTATTTTTAATCAAAAAAATTTTGTTCAAATTTTTTTTTTTAACATTATCTTTAATATGAACACAACATGTGTTGGGAGTTTGGGATCCCTTTAAAGATGTTTAAAAAGAAAAGATTATTATTCAACATGTAACCAAACAGGATCAGACCAACTTAAGTAACATATTCTACACTAAATACTTATATTAAAACAATACCTGTCATGCATTCCTGTTTTACTATGACAAATTGATTAAGTAAAAAAATTTGAGAATTGTGCAAAAGTAACTGGAAAATGAGACTGAAAAATGTGCCAAGAAAAGAAAATGAGACTGAGAAAAGTAACACAAAAATGAGACTGAGGAATGT